TAATGACTTGTATTAAATTCATCCGATGGGGAGGAAGGTGTAAGACAACACATAAACTTAATACTTCATTACTATTTAATCTTGGTAATTATTTTTTTTTAAAAAAAAACTCATCACTATTTTATTTTCTTGGTAAAATTTTATACCAACAAATTTCTAGAAAGAAACTATGCAAACAACAAAAATTCAGCTTATCATATTTTCAAAACTGTTACAGTAAATCCTTTTTTTTTTTAAGTTACTGTTTCAATTTTTTTTTTTCAAAAGTGGTTCAAATTCTTCCAAGAAACATGGGTCATTAATTTGCACATTAATGAGTCAAAATAATTTTATAAAAAAAAATCACAAGTGGTAAGTCTTTTTACGAAGAAAAAGATTACACCCAAACACATGTGATTACAAACAACCAGCAGCTACCACGATAAAAAAATTGAAAGTTTTTCTGACAATTTATATCCAATCACGTGAGGCCAAAAAATTAATTTACACCCAAATCTTCCGTAATTTTTTTTAATATATCAGGAAAAAAAACAGCCACATAGTATGAATATAAAATTGTACACAATTGCTGCCACAAGACAACACAGAAAATTGACCGATGCAGCTATCAAATTTCTCTTAAAATTATCCATCCAAGGAACACCGTGCATGACAATATGAAAATATTAACAAATCTTACAAATCAATTTTCATAAGTAACTATTACCGTATGCATTTAACAGAAAACAAATCAAATCAATTTTTTTTCTGTCCTTTTCGTGATAAAACAAAATTTACAATCACGAATCATACATATAATTTCACATATGCATATTTTAGGTTATGTATAAAGATGCAAGTATGGCTCTTGATGCCAATTGTTAGAAAATAGCATACACAGCGGAAGCATTCCAGAATCATACATCTTGCATGAATATAAATAACAATCACAAATAGTTATCACATACAAAGTATGCTGAAAATTAACTTAAAATTACCTCTTGAAGCGTGTGCAGATATCTTGAAGTAAACCCAACTCCAGTTCTATAGTCTTCTACAATGATCCCAATCAACAATTAAACTCACTCAATACTTGGGTGGGCAAGTATGGTATAGAATACTCTCTTAAATCTAGGTTAGAAAAATCCCTATTTATAGAGATGTCTTCCTAGTCCAAAGAGGAGAGTAAAAGCCAATTCTTTTTCTTTTAGGAGAACTTGAAAACACACGTTTTCCTCCAAAGAAAAAGAAGGCTACTTTTCCATTTTCTACTAGAAAATAGAATTCTGAGTTCTAGTTAAATTGGGCACTGGAGGGACCACATAATTTATTACTGAGGCTTCCTATTATGGAAATAATTCTAAATAATTAATTTAAATTATTCTTACCATAATAAATTACAAATCATTCCACTAAAAATTCATAATTGAACTCCTCTATTTATTTCGAAATTCACCACTAAACACTTATTTGATTCCCCATGTTAAGATTACCAATACTAATCAATAAATTAAATTACTGACGAATTTAATTCAATGATTAACTTCTTTTAGAGCAATACTTAAATTATTTCATGTGCCAGATTCATAAATCTACCGGCTGGGTTTACACATGAAAACTTACAAGCTTCTCATAAAAGGTGTATCATCAATCTCTATACTGAGACATGGATTCCATCAACTAACTAATTATTTCACCAATATATATTATTATCATCCAATTACCAGACATATTGACCCATCTCAGAATCTTACCTCTTAATAAACCAAAATGATAATTAATATATACAGATCATAATCGTTATATCAAGATTAAGAATATAAGTACATTTAATAGTTTAGAGAATATATTTTTATCAGTCAGTCTAAAACAACTATCTCTGCTTGGTCCCGTTCAATACATACCAAATGCACTAGCACGAGAAGTTAAAACTATGCCATTCTCATAATCAAGATAAATTACATTTAATCTCGTGCTACAATCTTTCTGATGATTTTGTCCAAATTTCCATCTATGATTGTGAACTATAAATTTTAACTTATAAGAACTGATGATTTAATCTTCTGTGTATAAGCTTAAACTCTATACACCAAATCATCTACTATATAAGTTAAGGACACATATATGATAATTGATCTATTTAATGTAACACTTTATTGAATTGAATAAATGAATAAACAATTGTTCAATATTAATACTATATCAAAACGCATGGTTAATAGTATATCCTAACAAAAGTGTTACAAAAAAAGCTCATTCTTTTTGGGCATAATACATGTATTGGACCCTAAATTTGATTTTAAATTTTTATTTTGATCTCCAACTTTCATAATGCACAAAGAAACACATTAATTATTCAACTTTTAAATATATAAACACATAATTCTACATGACAAAATAGACATAGGACACTACGTAGGACAAAAAATTAAATGTAGGACATGTGTGTCTATAGTTCAACTTTATACAAGTTTAAGTGTCTATTTGTGCACATTCAAAGTTGAAACATATAAATGTGATTAAAAACTAAGTTAGAGAATATATTTATGTATTATGTCTTCTTTTTAAAATAAATTAAAAAAAAATAGAATTACTTTTTTTTTTGAAACGAAAGAAGTAACATATTTTATATCTATCTATCTATCTATCTATCTATCTATCTATCTATCTATCTATCTATCTATATATATATATATATATATATATATATATATATATATATATATATATATATATATATATATATATACATACGCGCGGGTGGACGGTGGTTGTCGTGTTTGGGGTGATGGCACCGTACAGGGAGAGGACTTTTAGGCTCCGCTGGTATAAAGGGGTGGGGTAAGTTGGAAGATTCTTTTTAAAATGTCTATTTTTAACTTTAAAAAAAAATTCTTACTTTATAAGACATTTTAATATTAAATTTTGTACTAAAAATTCCGAGATGTCATTATTTACTTCGTCAACTTGTTATGTCATCAAGAATATATTTTACGCACTTTATTTTTTAGTTTATTATCAAAAATGTTTAAATAGTTCAAATTTAAAAAGATAAAAGTGTTTCATAAATACAAATATTAATTTAAATATATAAGTGAATTATGCTGACAACTTTAAGGGTTCATGAATGATTTAAGTCTTACGTTTTCAAATTCAAATTTAACTATTGATACTTAAATTATGCACTTTTAGATTGTCAAGTTGAATGAGTACTATTCAAACTTATATTAATTGTAGCCACAATTTATAACATCTCATAAAAACGTGGGAAGCCTACATCATATGAGCCGTCAAATTAACGATGTATAATTTTAAATGAACGTTCTTCCCTATTTCTTAGATACTTCCTAATCTATTTGTACTAAAAATACATAAAATTAATTGATTTATAAGTCCTTTTGACAATGGTGCTGGAATATTGCGTCCACACACCGGGTTTGACTGGTCTTTTTAATTAATTAATTTATAAGTCTTGTTGGCATAATTAGTCATTTAAAAAAAAAATGAAGATGTTATTTAACCAGGTAGGCAAATATTTAAAACCAGAGGTAGGCAAATATTTAAAACCAGCTCATGAGAGTGATGATATTGATTGGTTATCAATAGATGAGACTATAATCGAGTTAAAATCTTGAATGGTTACTCAACTAAAAAAAATAACGGAAAGAAATTATTAGTTAAGTGACTTTTTGAACTTTTAGTTGAGTGATCTGAGATATATAACAACTCGATTATACTCTATAGAGCTAGCTCCTTACAAATAAAATCACCTTTTATTTGTTTTTCAATTTATTTGGAGTCCATTTTGAAGTCTTGATTAAATTTGGATTAATCATCACATGACCCACTGCCAAATGACGCTCTCAACATATTTTTTTATACCAAAACTCGAACAATGACATCTGATTAAAAATTAAGCAATCTTATAACCATAATCCATGTCGGTACAAATAGAACCACTTTATTAACAGCAATGCCAACTCTAACAATCAGAGATACTGTGTAAAGAAAACTAGAAGAACCATTTCACTTCTTTTGGCATGAGTCAGTTATGATAATAATGAATCATATTTAAGGTGCAAATATTGTATATAAGGCAATAGTTTTCACATGTCTGTTTGGATCAGTATTTAAGTTTATTAAAATAAAATAAAACCAAATAAAATTTGTCTTTGTCAATTTTGGCTTGATTATTCATTATACATAAAATATATATAAAAAAAATGATCCTCTTAAGGGGGTCAACATTTCATTAAAAAAATACTTGCTGTGACTGATATATATTAGAAATTAATTTCCGATTCTGAACTTGTTCTGAATAAAGCTTCAAAAATTTTATTTTTTATTTTTGGCCTAGACAAGAAAGAGATATGATTTTTCTAATTCAATGAACTATCATATACATGAAATAAACAATAAAAAATGTGTTGAGTTTGACCTTTTTCGCTTTCATAAATAAATTTTAATGAAAATATGTATAAAATATTTTAAGATTTAAATTATTCACTCGTATATTATTGAGATATAATATTAAAAAAATATCTATATAATTTGTCAGTTTGACTTTTTCTTTGTTTTTTTTAAACAAAATCAAAATAAAATAAAATATTACCTATTTTAAAAAATTTAAAACCAAATTATTCAATTTGGCTCTACTTTTTTGGTTTTGATAAATTTTTATCCAAACAGTAAATAACGATAATAGTAACAGTGTGTTTCCCTTAAATATAGGGTAAGATTGTTATGTATTTAATGTTGAAGAATTTTGTTACCATATAATAGGATTATTTGATTTACCCCAAGCAAATATTGTTCCTTTTTTCTTTTTTCCTATTAGGATTGTATTAATTCAGGATATGATTTGTTATTGGGTAGACCCCAGATATGATGTGGTCAGGGATTTTTCTTTTTATTTTGACAAATACACTATTATGAATTTTTGAATTTTAGAAAACACAACTAACTTACTGCATATATATATTTGATAAATAATACTCATTATTTATATTAAAAATAAAAATAGAATTCTAAGTGAAAATTATTTGAGTTGTGTTTGAAGTGTATAGCTCTGCCCCTTAATATAATTCCTATATAAACATTCCATTAGGTAGCAAATTAGATTGCCAGAAAAACAATATGGGGAACGTTAAGTTTTTGTTGTTCGTGTTTTTTCTAATACTAATAATGGCGAATGGTTGTTGGGAGGAAGAGAGAAGTGCTCTCTTGGATCTTCAAGCAAGTATAATAAGTTCAAATAGTGAATTGTTGGTCGATTGGGCTGGATATAATAATTCTAATGGTTTTACAGATTGTTGTTTCTGGAAAAGGGTAAAATGCAGCTTAGAAACAGGTCGAGTGATCAAACTCAATCTCAAAACAAAATTTGGTAGAGGGGATGGTTGGAGATTTAATGCCTCTCTCTTTCTTCCATTCAAGTCACTGCAAGTTCTGGTATTGTCTTCCCGAAATATTATAGGGTGGACAAAAAATGAAGGTATATATGGAGTATTATGACTTGTGAAAACTGATGAAACAAATTACTACTAACATGTTAATTTCTTTGTTATCCAATCCAGGTTTCAGTAAACTAAGGCAGCTGCCTAACCTGAAAGAAGTGGATTTGCAATATAATTCCATCCATCCTCAAGTTTTACTATCATCTTTGTGTTCGATTTCATCTCTCGAGGTTCTAAAACTTGGTGTAGATGTTGATACCTCTTTCAGCATACCAACGCCATATAATAGCACTAGTATATCCTCCAACATAAACTCTTTAACTGTGGCCATTATAGTTTGCAATATATATAATACTTATAGTATAGTTGTTGTAATTTTTGGATGAAGGCATGAAGAGTAAGAAATGTGGAGGAGGACTAAGCAATTTAAGAGAACTTTGGTTTGAAGGTTAAGGAATTGATGACATAAATATCCTTTCTGCATTGGGTAAGGTGTCCTTTCCACAAGAGAAATTCAGAAAAATCAATTCACACTAATTCCAAGTACAATTTACTTTTCATAAATCAAATGCAGGCAGACTGAGGAATTTACAGAAACTCAATTTGAATTTTAATAACTTCAATTCCACCATCTTTTCATCGCTCAAGATTTTTCCGTCTCTCAAGCATCTCAATCTCGCTGCCAATGAAATAAATGGAAATATCGAAATGAATGGTTTGTTACACTCTCTTCCCATAAAAGTCTTACCCGCTAACCATATTTTGCTCCACTAAGATGCATCTAAATAAATGGAAATATCAAAATGAATGGTTTGTGTCCTTACTATTTGCATGTGCAGATATAATTGCTTTGAGCAACTTGAAACATCTGGATCTCAGGGCAAACAATATAGAGAGCTTTGTGACTACCAAAGGTACACGATGCTCTAATGAAAATGCAAATTTGATCAGATAATGAAATGTGAACTAGGATTACACATCTTTACTAACTCATGTAATAAGATTGATTTATTCATTCTTATGTAAAAACATATATGATTTATTTAACAGGTATCAAAAGAATGAGTTATTTGCGAAATTTACAATTCGAAAGTCTTAACTCCAACTCGAGCAGAGTCATACAATCCCTAAAATCATTCTCATTTCTTAAATCACTTTCTTATGAAGATAGTGATCTCACTGCTCCCACCATAATTTATGGTAAGCTCAAAATTGAATTTTATCTAACTTACTTCTATTCCACTTTTTCTTTTGAAATATGAAAAATCCTTTTATTTTTTTATTTTATCGTATAAGCATTAAGAAATCTGAGCACGGTGGAGTACCTATACTTGAAGGGATCTTCTGTAAATGACAACTTTCTCCCAAACATTGGACAAATGACTTCTCTTAAAGTGTTGAGTATGCCTTCTGGTGAAAATAATGGCACCCTCCCTAATCAAGGTACCCTATTTTTCTCTCTTTTTGTCCTAGTGCCTGCATTCTCGTAAATATAGGGTGTGTTTGGCAGGGAAAAAAATTGTACTAGAAAAAACAAGTTTCTTAAAAATGAGAAAAATAAATTTACATATTACATTCCATATAAAATACAATCATATCGGAATCCTCCAAGATGGCTTATCTTCACCTTACCCCCTATTCCACTACCCCACTCCTCACCTCCCATAGACTCTGGATGCTCAATTTTATATCTATTCGAAAGTTAATTTGATTAATTTTTCAAGGTAAATTAGATATATTAATTTGATATTTTAAACAAAAAATTTAGATATCCAAAAATTATACAAAGAGGATTGTAAATTGCAATTTTTCGCATATCAACATAATATAAAAATACATCATTTAATCAAAGTTTTTATGGTTTAACTATAAAAAAAAAAAAGGAAACTATAACAAATAAAGTGGAAGGGGAGTACAAAAACTATATTTTGTTTAAGCACCAAACACACACAAAAAAAAAAGTAACAAAACTCACCTACATTCCTAGAAAACATTTTCGTTTCTGTCAAAATACACTTCCACACACAATAAAATAGTATAATACGGTTTGGCTTTTTTATTTTTATTTTTAGCTAAATGTCTCTGAACCTTTTTTATAACAAATATATATAGGTTGGTGTGAACTCAAACACATTGAAGAAGTGGATTTTTTAGACAATAATTTTGAGGGAACACTGCCTTCGTGTCTTGGAAACTTGACATCACTTCGATGGTTGTGTTTGGCCATGAATTACTTTAGAGGAAATATAGTGTCACATTCTATTTGGAGGAGACTTACATCACTTGAGTACCTTGATATTTCACATAACCAATTTGAAGTTCCTCTGTCATTCAGCCAATTTTCCAACTATACGAAATTGATCTACTTGGATGTTGGTTATAGTACAATAATTCCAGATACCGAGTTCCAAAATTGGATCCCGAATTTCCAGTTGGAGTTTTTTGGTATATATGGATATATAAAGCTTCAAAAGTTGCCTTCTTTCCTTCACTATCAATATGACTTGAGGATTCTTGTTATAGATGAAAATCAATTGCAAGGAAAGTTCCAGACATGGTTATTAGAAAATAACACCAGACTTGCAGGGTTTTATAGTAGAGATAATGCTTTCGACGGACCATTCAAGTTGCCATCGATTGTTCACCTCTATCTAGAGACGATTGATGTTTCTAATAACAAACTAAACGGGCATATTCCAGCAAATATGAGTTTAGCCTTTCCGAAGCTTAGTTTTTTGAACATGTCACAAAATTATCTTGAAGGTCCTATACCTTCCATGTTTTGTGGCACTCATTTAGAATTCCTAGACCTATCTGTTAATAAGTTGTCCGGAGAAGTTCCTGTTGATCTGACAATTGGTTCTCCCCAATTGTTGTACCTTCGGTTGTCAAACAACAAGCTGAAAGGACATATGTTTTTGGAGGTCAAGTCACATGTATTGTCCTTTTTGTATTTGAATGGCAATAACTTTGAAGGACCACTGCCTGAGAACATTTTTCTCAGATCCCTTATTGTACTTGACGCTAGCAGGAATAGTTTCACTGGGGAGATTCCGAGATGGATTACAGATAATAAAAGATTGTTACAGCTTGATTTGTCCAATAATCATCTCCAAGGTTTGATTCCAGTTGAGATTTGCAATTTGAAGTTTCTTAATGTCTTAGCTATATCCGAAAACAGGCTTTCAGGATTTATACCTTCTTGTGTGAGTTCTTTACCTCTCAAACACATCCATTTGGAGAAAAATCAATTGGGTGGTGAATTGGGACATGTACTTTTCAACTTCTCTTCACTGATAACTTTGGACCTTCGCCGCAACAATTTTGCAGGAAATATCTCACACGCCATAGGCTCACTTACTAATCTCAACTACCTTCTCCTTAGCCATAACCAATTGGAAGGGCAGATTCCAACTCAGATATGTATGCTGAACGACTTATCTATCATAGATTTATCTTTCAATATGCTTTATGGTCCTCTCCCTCCTTGTTTGGGTTACTTAACACGGACCAAAAAGGATGCAGAGATAAGTTGGACTTATTATCCTGCGACTTCCACGCGTTCATGGTTAAGTTTTGAGATCTGGATGCGTTCGAAAAGGCATTATCACGATAGTCATGGACTTCCAAGTGACTTGTTTTTGATGGATGTGGAAACTCAGGTCCAGTTTTCAACAAAAAGAAACTCATACACTTACAAGGGAAGCATTCTTAAATATATGTCGGGTATTGATCTCTCAAGTAATAGATTGACAGGTGAAATTCCTGTTGAGTTAGGGAACATGAGCAATATACATGCATTGAATCTATCGCACAACCATCTCAACGGAAGAATACCAAATACCTTCTCCAACCTACAGGAAATTGAGAGCTTAGACCTTTCCTGCAACAGATTGAATGGGAGCATTCCTGTTGGTCTACTTGAGCTGAATTCTTTGGCAGTATTCAGTGTTGCATACAACAACTTATCTGGTGCAGTGCCTGATTTTAAAGGTCAATTTGGAACTTTTGACAAAAGCAGCTACGAGGGAAATCCTTTTCTTTGCGGTTATCCATTAGATAACAAGTGTGGGATATTGAGTCCTAAATTGTCAAAGATTAATAGAGATGAGGAGGAATCATCAGAATTGGAGTGTTTTTACATTGGGTTAGTTGTGTCATATGGAGCGATCTTGTTGGGATTAGCTGCAGCGCTCTGCTTGAATAATCATTGGAGAAGAGCATGGTTTAGGATGATAGAGGCATTGATGTTTTATTGTTACTATTTTGTGTTGGACAACATTGTTACACCCATCAAGAGTAGAAGGTTGATTAATTAGGTAGTTCTTTTAAAAATATTGTTGCATGTCTATCACTATATATTATTATGTTGTCATTCTATTTTATAAATATTTTTTTGTATGAATTAAAATGTTCCATTTTCATACATGTGTGTTGGAGTTGTTACAGCTAATTGGGCTTCAAAAAAGAACTTTTCTTGATCAGGAGAAATTTAAAGATTATTATGCAGAAGAAATGACCTCGATTAAACTGGTGCTCTATCCTGCAATATTTGGATGATAAGTGCATAATTAAACACTCATGAAGAGGAAGAGAAGATGTAAAAAAAAAAAATCTATATATCCATACAATTTGTTCTGGTAAAATTTGCATCTCATTAAATCATTATTAAAATCAATGACAATTGTTTTCTTTCTTCATTTTGATTTTCTTGTATTATAGTATAATAACATTGTTCATATACATTTTGTAGGCATATTTCCTATAAATACTTGGTGCTTGCAACAAATTTTAAAGGGACGAGAAATAAATTGCAATCACAAATAAAATATGAAGAAATATAATTTTGCTGGTAATATTATGTTTATCCCTTGATCCGTCTATGTGATTCGCACGTAGTTAATGGAGGTCATATCTTGATTTCTTTATGAATATTCCATTAAAGTGCAAAATATTTGAGATGTCTTTTTAAAAAAACATAATATATTTATATATAGACATAAAATAGGGTTTAGAGTTAGAGTATTAGTCTCCAAGAATTCTAATACTTATATGTGAAGTCACAACTAAAATTGAACAGATCTTGTAGTATCTCACAAATTTTCAATGTTGTCATCACTGGCTCTAATATTACTTTCTTTATTTTAATTTATGTGACACAAATAAAATTTAGACAATCAGTCAAATTTAATATGTTTTTTAATAAATATTTTAAGTTGTTATTTTTGGGTGCTTTATAGGTACTTTTTATTTCATTTTCAAATAATATGTCACTCCTTCGCTGTTTTAATTTATGCGGCACAAATGGAATTAGGTGTGGCAACAAATTTTTTTTACATGATTTTTATATATTTTGATTCTTTTAGTTACTATTATTTATGTTACCTTTTACGTAATTTGTAAATAGTATATGTTATTTCATTTGTTCAAATTTATATGACACATGTAGAATTTTATTTGTTATTATAATTTATACAACTTTGTATATAATTTCAAATATATAATAAAATATTTTAAGTTGTTATTAAAATTTTTATGCTGCTTTTTATGTAACTTTCAGATATATAATATAATATTTGAAGTTGTTAATTATGAAGATTTATAAGAGTTTTAACTTAATTTTTAAACATACAATATATTTTAAAAAGTATGAAAAATAAATTATAAACTAATGAGGGATATATTGCAATTCATATTAAAACTATGGATTTATGTAAGTATACTAAATTAAAAACGAAGATCACCAAATTTTGTGAGGCGGACCCTCTTTGTAGAATGATAATGTATACATAATGTGTGTGTGTATATATATATATATATATATATATATATAAAGAAAAGCCTAGGCTCGCCTATGTGGCGCAACCACAAATAAGAATTTTCTTTTATATTTATTTATTTTTAAAACTAGCCTTCCTCTTTTCTGTAAAGATGTGATTTTTATGAAAAGTAGCGGTTTGAATGAAGAATTGTGACTTTTATAAAAAATTGTGACTTTTAGAAAAAGTTGTGACTTTAAAAAAAATTTGCGACTTTAATGAAGAGATGCGACTTTATGAAAACTTGCGACTTTAACTAAAAGTTGTGAACTTTCCTAAGGGTTGCAACTTTTCCAAGTAGTTGTAACCTTTCTAATACAGCACAATAAATATTTATTCACACTACCCTTTGTTGTATATAAATAGAGGAGTTCTCTCTCATTTTAAAACAACAAAAATTTTGATCTACTTCTTCTACTTCCACAAAATTAATTTTTCGTATGCTTTGCTCCTGTTGAATGACTTAATGTCATCAGTGTTTTTTCTATCAATAAGTTGGTGGATAAAATGTTTCCATCCTGAGAGGATGTAGTTCTTTGAACCTCTTGAATTAGAGGGAAATAACTTACTTAAGGGGGACATTGTGCATTCATTATACTCGATCTGTTCTTTCAATTTTATTTTATTTTAACATTTCATGATTTTTATTTACACTTATAAATTTATGCATATGATATTAATTGTTGTTTTTGAGTACATAATTAAACTCTGTTATTTATGTTTCTGCAATGTTTTTGTCTCCGGTTATATTGAACATATAAACGTATAGTATGTTTGTTCATTGTACATAAAACAGTTATTGTACTTGGTTCCAAAAATTCATGTTTTTGATATTATATATGAAATTCTATAACTTAAAAGTACTATGTATAATCTTACCATGTTGTTGACACTTAAATTTTGACCTCCCCGATGAATTAACTAGCTAATTCCTTAATCTAAACGATTTTGAAATAATTGATTTTATAAGGTTTAAAGTGTTCTCTAAATTAGTCTTTTTATTAACTTTTAGTTAATATATACGATTTACGTAGTTATATATACAATTGATATGCTTTAGATTTATTCGAAAGTCGACTCAAAAAGATTTTACTTTGTTTAAATATTTCACTAATTAGTTTAGTTATACAATAGTTTTATTTCTTGGATAAGTTATTTTATAGTTACATCAATTATTTTATTTCGTTAAAATTGAGAAGCTTGTTTAGTTAATTTATTTCATCGAGTTACCAATTTAATCCATTGGGGCAAATATTTTGGGCCTCTTCTATTTTTACTTTTCGATAGCCCATTCCGCATTCAATTCTTCCCAAATTCCTTACCAAAATCCCGACCGAATTCATTTTTCCACGTCCATTTCCTCTTGACCAATTTTCTTATACCTGACCCGCCCAACTAAAGGAAGCGTAGAAGCGCCAAGGGAAATAAACAATAGCCCCAGACGGCATGAAGACGACACCAGCAATTCTCTTCCATAACGTTTCAAACGACTCCAAACGACGCTCCTTTCCGTCGAAATACACGGAAAAGCAGCCAAGGACAAGCAATACGCTGCAAATCTGTTTTCCCTCCTCTTTTTTTCTCTCTCTCTCATCCCAACAGTCCTTTTCCGCGATTTTAGCTGCTGCCCAGTACTTACCGCTGCGGAGAGCTTCCTTGGCTCGTGTGGATGGGCGCCACATCGAGCACAAGGACGTTGTAATCAATCCAAGCCATTCGTTTTCCCTCATCTGATTTCGTGGGAATTTGTTTGAAAATTCGTACAATGATCCAGCTGGTTTTGATCCTGAAGGTTTTGAAATCATTTTGATTTGAAAAATCTCGACTTTGCCCTTTTCCTGCCCCTCTGTTGAAAACCCTAATCTTCTATTATCTATTCTCTTGTTATTCACTACTAGAAGAGGGACCGATTTTAGAGAAATTTAGAGAGTTTTTACTGACTTTTTTTTTGAGAAATTTTGGGATTTAGAATTTTTAAAGTTTTTTCTGAGGGAGAGAAGCAGTAAAAAAAGGGAGGATTCTTGAGAGAGGATTTTCGGATTATAGATTTAGGAATTATTTTAGTTGGAGTTTTTTTTCGAAGAGAAAACAGAGAGATTCTCTCATGGGAGGGAAATTTTTGATAGAACATTCTGGCGTGAGAAAAGTTGAAAGAAAAAACAAAAAAGATACGTGCAAAACAAAAGTTCTTGACGATATTTGGTTCCGTCTTGGCTTTGGCTTAATCTTGTTCATACAAGTCTTTGGAGTCGTTTCTTTTGGTGTAGAAGTTGGTAGTCTTCCACGCTCGTCTGTTCCATTCGCTGCCCGCAACAAGGTAAACACCTCATAGCCCCTCCCCCCATTTTGAATGCATCTAGTTGGTCGACACATTTTGTTAAGGATCCCACATGGGTTCGTGTGGTAGTTTCATATCTAAGTCTGTTCTTCCATGTTCTTAGAGTTGAAATCTGTGATTATGTTTGTCTCGAGCTTAGCTCGATATTTGTTAACTGTCATGATTTTGTTCTATCTCCATTGTCGAAATATTTTTCTCATTTTGACTATATGTCCTCAAGTTTCGAACGAGCTATTTCATTATGTCCTTTAGCATATTTTTGAGTATAGACCAGAAATTTCAATTTGTTTCATGGCTGTTTATTTTCTTAGTATCATTTTATGGTACGAAATTCTTGGATCCGTTCGATACTCGGTGATTACATGTTTCTTCAACTCGTCCAAATTCATTGTTTAATGTAGTTGGTTCTGTATTTCTCTACTCATATAATGTCAGGCTGCTGAGATAGTTTGTTTGTTGTTAAATATTGTTATCTGTTCAAATTTAAGTCCTAAAAAATAAATCAAACATGTTTGTTCCTATGATTCAATTTATCTATTTATGGAATATCTTTGTGACATAACTGTTATCATGACTTGCTTAAAGCGGTTGTGTACCTTTTCCTGTTGCCCAACTTTCGGTTGAATATCATTTTACTGTTGTGATTAGTGGCATAGTCCAAAACCTCGAATTCATCTTTTGAAAGCGGCTTCAATGTTCTTAAATTTTTGTTCCTAAGTTAAATCTAAGAGTTAAATACAACAGTTTAATTATCGTGCTCTTTTATTTGTGTTTGTTCGGCATAACAATCGATTATATTCAGACTCGTTCTTGTGTTTACTCTATCTCCTTTGTTCTTTTCTTTTATATTCTTTTCAAAGTTCATTGGGATAGTTTCATGCATAGTCCTGTTAGATTCACCTGTTTCAGTTTACATTTACAATTTGAGTCGGTGAAATTTGAGTAGTTTCTTTTTTTATTTGTTCACTCTTAGTTTTGTTGGAGTTTTGTATTTAAAATCATTTAAGGCACGATTGTTGGTGATTTGATATGTCCGTTGGTTCTCTTAATTTCGAAACTTGCTAATTTAAATGCTAATTGTCTGTAAAGTTTACATCACAATGATTTTTAATCATTTTCTTATTAGGATTCATGTGTATGCTTCTATAGGAGACAGTAGCTTAAGCTTCCATTTTTGCATGAATCTAGGCACTACCTTTGCTTGTGCATTTGTTCCTCTCTATCTGAATTTCGGCGTTGTTTTGATTAAATTTGTTTCGCTATATTATTATAAGATGATGATTATAACTTGTTCATCTCGAGGCTCTGATTCTTACCATCGTTTTGTTGCATGTAATATCTGTCTGAGTCCAATTGGACTCCTTATCTCCTGGCATTATCGAAGAGTCATCAAGACACATATTTCCTTCACTCGAGTCAGTCAACCCGTAAAAAATGAACATGTATCGAAGTTGAAGAATACAAAGCAAGTCGGAAGAGTTGAAGAACTTGGGGCAATTAACCAAAATTTATTTCTATCGCATTGTATTTATTTTAGGCAT